AAAAAAAAAAAAAAAGAAAAAAAAAGAGAGAAAAACGCCTAGCAATCCCACAAAGACAACCAAAAAAAACAATACAAATAATAAAAAAAAAAAAAAAAAAAAAAAAAATAAAAAAAAAAAAAAAAAAAAAAAAAAAAAACCCATATATCCCCATATAACATTAATAACGCAGCGTATAAAAAACTACCTTATAACTTTACTAAATGAAAAATAATGAAAAAAAAAGTATGTGTGTGTGTGTGTGTGTGTGTGTCCGTGTGTCCGTGTGTCCATCTGTCCGTCCGTCTGCTTGTCCGTCTCTCTATTCCCCCCCCCCCAACACACACGCCCTCTCACCCCTCCGACCCCCTGGTCATCAGGTGTCGTGCCGGGTGCTGTCTGCGGACGGGGAGGCCGACCCAACGGTGCTGGCGATCAACGCGGCCGCTGCTGCGCTCCAGCGGGCAGGCGTCCCCTGGGACGGCCCTGTTGCGGGTGTGCGCATTGCACGCACGCAGCGCGGGGCACTTGTCACGAACCCGGACCTGAAGACTCTGGAGGGCGCAGACTGGAACATGGTGCGATTGGTTGCGGAGCGCTGGTGATGAGTGCTGCATGCTGGTGATGGCGGCGGTGGCGATGGTGAAGGATGATGGGGTTCATGGCGACCGTAAGGGTGGTGGCATGGGCGGGTGCATTCACGTCCTGTCATGTGCACGTCTGTCTGCGCTTGTGCTGACGTTGTGATTGGCGACTGTGCCTCGACACCTGCTGCTCTCATATGTGTGCTTGTGTGTGTTTGTATGTGTGTGTGTGTATGCATTATGACCAGCTATATGTGGGCGACGTGGATGGTCCAGTGTACTTGAGCACAGATGCGCACACGAGCGCAACGCCGGTGGAGCTGCTTGACGCAATCAAATGCGGCCAGGACGCTGTCCAGGTACTTTGACTTGCAGTTTTATCACATGAAGTGGCATTTTGTTTCATTTGGGATGGCGGTGATACAAGGGGAGGTCGTTGGTGTTGTTCCCTGGCACCTTTGAATCCATAGCTGTACGCTTGTATTCTTCTCACACTGCAATTGCGTGAATGTTGTATGTGTGCGTGTGTGTGTGTGCGTGCGTGCGTGCGTGTGTGTGTGTGTGTGTGTGTGTGCGCGTGTGTGATGCGTCTGGCAGGGTATGCTCGATTGCGTGTCGGACGTCCCTGCACATTCACATCGGGAAGTCCACGATGCGCCATCACTCGATCGGGTCTGTCCACACAGCGAGGGAGGCGATATGTGTGTGTGTGTGTGTGTGTGTGTGTGTGTGTGTGTGTGTGTGTGTGTGTGTGTAAACCCTCGAGACTCGCCCTCGCGGTATGTAGTGGTTGGCGTGTCTACTGGTTCCGAAGTACATTTACTTTTCGGTTCTAGACAACTATATAGATCAACTCAAGGCTTGGGCATATCGCTGGAATGTATATGGGGGGCAACGAAGCCCAGGCGGATGGAAGAATTAGGTCTAAGGACTTGTTCTTCGGAATGATACCAGGAACTCTAGTTATATAAACGCTACGCTGGTGAAGGGGTCCTGAGTGGGTCCTAGCAGTTGGTCCTACGTACGGTACGGTACGGTACGTAGTAGTGTGTGTGTGTGTGTGTGTGTGTGTGTGTGTGTGTGTGTGTGTGTGTGTGTGTGTGTGTGTGTGTGTGAAGAAGCACCGAATGTGGCACAGCGATCATGCCATGCACCTGCATCAGCTAACGTATGCTCCCAATCACCACCACCGCTGCCGCCACCACCACCGCCACCACCAGAGCATGCGCCTGTCTGTGCAGCGCTGTCTGGATGAGATGGTTCTGCGCATGGACCGCGACGCACATGACGACATATCCCGGCACAGGCTCTTTTCGGGACTCGGTGCGGCGGCGGGCGCGTGGTGGAAAGCAAGAGAGTGCGCGTGTGTGTATGTGTTGGTCAGTGTTCGTGTGAGCATGTATTCAGGTGCTGGCTGCTTACCTGTGACACGCCATGCGTGCGCGTTTCTTCTTGTTGCTGCAGTGTGGGAGTACATGCCGAGTCTGACGCGCTTGTATCCGATGGAGAATGCGCAGCAGCTGCAGGTCAGTGCACGTCGCGGTGGTGGTGGCCCTTCTCATGCTGTGGGTATTGGCCTGCATCCTGTTGTGCTCAGGCATGCGTCGACTCACAGCTCGTTGGTGTGTATGTGTATGTGTGTGTGTATGTGTGTGTGTGTGCAGGCGATTCTGCATGAAGAGTTTGGTCGAATCGTTGGAGAACGCATGCACACAAGCGGAACGAGGTGATTGACGGTTTCGATTGCAGTGATGGTGGCCATCGTGGTGGTGATGCAGTACTTTAACACGTTGTCGGTGCTGAATACGAGATGCAGTCCTGGGGCGAGGGCCGAGGATCTCTGACTGGCACCACCACCCCCTTCACATCTGACCTATATACACACGTATATGTGCTGCAGGTTTGGCGGGCGTGCGCTGAATGAGCACCGGGCGTTGGGCGTTGATCAGGGGATCGTTGCCATCCCGCACGGGTCCGCGCTCGTGTCGCTGGGCGCATCGCAGTGCTTTGCACGCACGACCATCGACCCAGCAACCGTCTCAAACCCAATCGATGAGGTAGGGTGGTGGTTTGTTTGGCTTGCGGATGAGGGCGGGTTGATTGCCACCACTGCCTGCTTTGAACAACAAAGAACCTACACACACACACACACACACACACACACACACACACACACACTCACACACACACGCGCGCGCACACACGCGCATACACACGCGCATACACACTCACACGCACTCACACACACACACCCACACGCGCATACACACGCGCATGCACACACTCACACGCGCACAAACGCACATGTGCTTGCTGTTGATCAGGTTGCCACCAAGTTTGGCGAGGCAGGAACCAACTTCTTCGTCGACTACAAAGTGCCGGCGCACGCGTCTGCAAACAATGACACACCGCCGCCCACGCGTGAACACCTCATTGCTGAAGGTCGGTCAATGGGACGGAGGGCTGCAATGGCGCTGGTGTTGGCGTCTGTCTCAAAACCATGACATCCGCACACAATCATGCACACACACACACACTCATTCACACACCTTCGCACTCACTCACATTCACACACACACATACACACACTCTCTCATTCGTACATGCATGTCACTCGTTCAGGTTCGATGATTACAAGCTCTGTGCTGCCCGTCCTGGACAGCTCTGTCTTGCTCATGCCAACGCGCGTGCACTGCGAAGTGTCAAGGTACATGCCAGCCTGTGTATGTATGTGTGTGTATGTGTTTGCGTGTGGTTGCGTGTGTGTTTGCTTTACATATGTGCTTGCGTGTGCACGTGCTGACTCGTGTGCACACGATTTCTGCTTTCGTTGTTGTTCCTGTGATGCATGGCCACCTGCTGTCTTCTTCGCACCACGACTGCTCACCCCATTACCCGGCACGTGCGGATACGGTCACAGCTACGGCGGCAGCACGGAGTCTGTTGCTGCTCTTGCGTCCTCCGCTGCCCTTATTGATGCCGGTCAGTGTCTGAATTGCCTGCAGGCACCCGACTCGCATATACATCTTTCTCAACCATCTCTCTGGGGCACCACGACGATTCACATACATGTGCACACACGTCCACGTCACCATCTTCATCACCGGCACCATGATGCATGGCTGCATTGCAGGCGTGAAAATGCTCGGGTGCCTTGGCGCCGCCACGGTCGGCTGCTTCCCAGCAGCTGCTGGTGGTGCAGGTGCCGTTGATGCCGACACGCACGCGCGGGGCGTTGACTGGAGCGACAGCGTTGTTGCCGTCGATCTTGACGCATTCGAGGTGCAAGGCATACACGACTGGTGGTGGTGGTTGTTGGAAGTGTGGGTAACTTGTCGATCCACAGACAGACAGACACACACACACACACACAGACACACACACACACAGACACACAGACAGACACACACACAGACACACACACAGACAGACAGACAGACA